AAAGTTGGTCCGGCTAATTAAACTGCTCTGAAAGGTCCTCACAAAAGATCTTCGATTCCTACTTTGAGACCAAGGCTGTGTTTTCAAAGCTGAGGCCATGAAATAATGTATGTTGTAGATGTGGAACTTATTGTTTAAATTACCAATTCTACTGCAAACCTGCAAGGCTATATCCACATGAGGTTCAGAGCACACGAGAGAGAGAACCATACAATACAATATCCCTGTATATAGCAGCCAATGATTCTTTCTTAGTAATTACTTCTTTTATAGATTCAAATTGCCAGACCTTATTGCCTCACACCGACACAGGCCTGTTCAGTGCAGAAACCACCCATTATCCATCAAGAATAGCTGCACTGACGCATTGAATTCAGCTGCCATTTTTCGTTAGAAAACACAATTAAGAGGTCACCATTAGCACCATCAGTGATGGCTCAAAGGCATTTTAACACCCTTTAACTGGGGTTTCAAGCCTAAACAGGGCAGTGCAGTAACCTAAAGGAAACAACAGTATAACGATCAAGAGGGAAATATGACCCCACATTATACCTGCAGGGCCTTGTTATGTGAACAGATCCACACCGGTAAAGAATGTGTTTTTCAAATTAAAAATGCTTCAGAAAGGTAGGTACCACCACCTGCTGTAATGTGTGAAAACGCTTTCTGCTGCTGTTTCAAGAAGACACATCAAGCATCAAGCAACACTTGACGATGGAATTGAGTCACGTTGTTGTGACACTCAGGCACTCTGTACTGTATCAGGCGTTTTCTCAGCGGCAATACCGTGTTTCATCACAAAAGTTGTCAACTTCCAAACACCTTTCAAAGATTCAGGCTTGTCACTGGACTTGTGCAAGTAGAGAAAACTCATCCTGTTCCTAAGTGCCTGGACCTTGTTTGCTATTACTGATGTAATTTACAGTTACAGCTCATGGACACAGGACACACTGCAGCTTGAGGGCCTTTCCACCAGGGCATTTTATGGCGAGTCTGGTCTGACTTGGCTAAAGATTGAATGATTAACTTTCTAGTCTCAAGGTAGACTCTTCAGTTTGCTTTCAAATAAGAATGAAATTTTCAGTTTTCAGTGAAGGAGCAGTGAACTTCCACGAGAAAGAGTGGTTAAGACGGGTGCATGTGGTTTAAAGCTTATACATGAACAATGTTTACTTAATCACTCTGAAATTCACAGCAATGTCAAATGGCTACAGACACCAGGCATTACACCTAATGACATCACACCACCTGGTTACATCACATATTCCCTTTTATCCTTATTGTTATCATTTTGAACCTTTTCTTTCATGCCCTTCTTATGATAATCAGGCCTAAACAACTACCACAGTGTTGGAGAGCATTTTTTAAATATTGTTTTCAGTAAAAAAGAAATGAATACTGGAAGTCAACAGTAAGGACAGTAAGGTTTGTTATTATTTTCAGTATTTTTTAGAGTTCTTACTATTGCATTAGTTTAATGAAGAAGCAGCACAGTAATGAATTTCAAGATGCAGACTTTACCAGGATCAGTTTGAATGTTTAAGATGACTGATTTTCCGCATATTACTTAAAGTACACTCCCTAGACTGATCCATACGGTGAATACTTCTGACTTATGGTCTTTTAGTTGACAAAGTCCTTTTGATCTAGAAAATACAGACCTTCAAGATTAAACATGCAATGCTGGGCACATTTAAATTGAGTCATTTCTGATTTGCAAACGTCTCGGGCTTGTTCTTTGCGTGATGTTCTGGAAGCAATCCTTCCTTTACTCACACATTAAAAATGTGTGGTCTGATTATTACAGTGTCTCAATTCTGAGCAGCTAACCATGAACCTGCATAAATATTTATTATGCATATTTGCCTTGTATTTAATTACCTATTTTTCTATTGAGCACAGTTTGGGTAGGAATATATGAAGAAATGATCATGCAGCTCTTTGATGCTTTGATGTTTTGTTCTTACTTGAGAATGAAAGTACAAAATCATCAGCATTAAGGAAAAAAACGCTCTTTAATAAGTGGCCTAATAATGGATGTGGTCCTAAAAAAAAGCTCAACTTTATGTCTTTACATTTCACAAGAAAACAGTCAAATCTAAATTTATTTGCTCTGACAAAAAAGGAACATAAATCTCTCTGTCTTTCTGAAGACATTTGATTTGTTTTTCCTGTTTGCTGTGTTTGTCCATTATAGGGCAACATGATTATTTTTGTTCAAAGATACACTTTTAATGAACTGTTTGCAACATTCACTTGGTTTTGTATTTGAAATGAAGAATGTTAATATACAAACTAACTGTGGTGACCTTGCCCGAGGTAGTGGAGTATCAGTGTGCTGTTTGTGTAGGGCTGGTCTTGGAGCAGGGCATTGTTTCAAACCCAGTCCATCACTGATCGACATCAGCTTTCTCTTCACAGACGCAATGGTTTAGCCCTCAAGCTTGCAGGCCAACTTCCTTCCCCTGGTCAACACGGGTCACAAGAAACAAGTTCTAGCTAGGGTGAGATTTTTATATGGCTTTCTACACTTTATACTGGCCTTAGGTTGCAGCAAAGTGGCCATACAGTATGTGCAAAGTGACTAAATATATTTGTCTTCCAGCCATCAAACAGTACTTTACATATATAGCTCATCACATCGATAGAAATTACATAGGCCTTTAACAATCTCTGCCCTCCTCCTTCCTATCCTCTCACACACACTGGTGGTTTTCATCTCTCCTCATTAACATGAGTAAGACAAATCTTTCAAAGCATTACGCATCAGCTAACCCAACAACTACGTCCAAACCTTCCTGTTTTGTCAACAAACGATCAGTGTTGGGAGATTTGTCCCGTTAAAAATGCAATTAGTAATGTAACTTTTTTAATTACTCCATCAAAGTAATGTAACTTCTTACATTTGATTATTTTTTGATGACTTTTCAGCACAATTAATTTAGTCTGATGGTGCCCTGTTGAGATTTCACAACCTAATGACCTCTCCAAGTTAATATTTAATGAAATTACAATGCTGAAGTAAGTTAGTGAGTGTTATTAGACCTCACACCTGTCTGGTAATGAAAGTTATATTCTACATTTAAGACGCTGAAGGAAAATATACAGATGTTTTTAATCACAATCAACATCTTGATTAGTAACCGTGATTTATTTGCATATGTTGTAACAGACCTTTCACAGATTACAGTTACATTTATTTTGTAATTTAATTACATAATCTCGTTATGTAACTAGTTACTCCCAACACTGCAAACAATTGTAAAAAGTGGTTTAGCACCATTTCAAGAGGGTCTGATGGGATTCTGCCCTTCGTGTTTGTTTCCAGAGAAGGATGTTGTACATAGATTGTTTCCAGTTAACAAAAGCCTGCTTGACTGCACAATGGATCGTGATTAGATTAAAGCTGCACTGTAAGAGCTTTTCGTTTGTGTTAAAGCGGGTTTTATCTCCGAGGGCGACGGGGCCAAAAGGGGACTCTGCTGGGAAGCATTCTTTGCAAAGATACACAAGCTCTGTGAAGGGCATGCTGCAGGCACCGGAGGTCTCTATCCTTGATATCCAGACAAATGGCATGATGCATTCAAACACAAACACTTTGACAGAGGCAGCTATTTGTTAGGGATAGGAGAAGAAGATTGAGAAAGGGGCACAGAGGGAGAACAGAAACAGACAGATCATTACAAAGGAGAAAGAGTTAGTAAAGGGGAGAATGATAGGAAAGGACACAAGGCCTGGGGAGCATCCATGTCATTACATTTCCCTTGAACTCATGTCAGGGACCCTCTGCTGCCATCAGTCTGATGAAGTGTAGCTGGTGCTATGAGCAGTCAGCCTGGCGAATCACTTCACGGATCACAACACAAAAGCCCAGAATGCTCAAAGCTCAAAGACTTTGCAATGCTTCCACCATTGGCCCACGTGTCAAAATAGCTGAGTACATTATGTCCTCCATGTTTACATGGCGTGACACCGGAGTCACAGAGACTTTGGCCAGCATGGAGGAATGTCAGTCTTGGGTTAAGGTCCCCCTTTAGCCCGATCCCCAGGGCACGGCATCTCCAGCAGCTCGGATTCAGTCAGATTTGTCTTAACATGAAACACTGTGTGCTTCTTACCCTTAAGGATGGACCAAGAGTAATGTCGGTCCAGGAGGCTGCTTTATGCTCTCTAAATGCACTGCAGTCTAAAAACCAGAAGGTTTCAATGTTACAAGAAGAGTGCTATTTTATGTCCTACGTTAGTGGACACATAAAGGGCACTGAGCTATACGATTATAACCTAATTACATGGTAATATGGAACACTTTAGGTAAAAACCAATAAGTCTACCATAACAGGTCTACCTAATGTAATCCCATTATAGCTCCATTACCTTCAAGAGGGCGAGGAAAGTAGGAAAGCATATATTTTTCATCAGGGGCTTCTGGGTATCACTATAACAGGGCATCAGGGAATAGGGCATCAACAATGGGTGTTGTGTATATCCCTCTTGTCTTTGCTTGGAAAGTACACTGGTACTTGAGTTCATAAGATTCATTTAAAATAGATGTTATGACGCTGAAGAATGCATTTAGTCACAGGCATTAATATCTATAGAGGTATGTAGCATTTCTACAACTACAGAATACTTACTGCAGCGATGAGCATGCATCTTGTCATACACATGTTATGTGGTACATAACCATGAGGCTCAGGTAGAGCCCTGTGATACATATTCAGTTATAACACGACTGAACATGATGTGAGCTGAATTCACACAAAGGGAATGCAGCAGGAAAAAAAGACCCAGATCATTCATGGTAAGCTGACTGGTAAAAACTTGAAAAAGCAAGTGCTAATTTTACATGAATACATTTGCAGATTTTTTTTTTTTTTTTTTAAAACAGCGTCACTTAAAAATGTGTTATTTTATCACAGGTTCTGAAGTTGCCATACAGTTAACTATGATGTGATATGAATTATATGAGACAGACATTCATAAAACCATCAGCCTCATACCTTCAGTGAGTCCCATGTGGATGGTCCAGTAGTTTTGCAGACACTGCAGCTCCTTCTTCATGCCCCTTTTGCAGCGGCAGTCATACAGAGGACTAACCAGCAGCACTTCCAAGGCAGCCTGGCACTCCCTGTTGTTGTCCAGCATGGCTTCTTTCTCCTTGCCCACAAGGCACTGGCGCATCACCCGGTACCGAGAGCTGCAGTAAGGGTTCTGGTTGCACATGTCACTCGCCTGGATGCAGTCCACCCATTCTGGCTGAGCTCCGGGCCCAGAGCCGGTGCCTGGAGATCCTGGAACACTGGTGGCCAAGGACACAGACAAAGCTGAGGGGCCGTCCCAGGAACTCGCTGCCTCATCTAGGTGGAGAAAGAGGTGGGGGTGACAAGAAAAAGGGGGCTCAGAAATTGTAAATTAATGTGCGAGGGGTATTGTGTGCGTCTATGAGTGTGCTTGAGAGTGTTTCCAAGAGCAAACATATATCATAAACCTGCTTTCATTTTTTTTTTTGCAGCCCATGAAACAGGTTTGAAATGACAGAGGTGTGATGGCCTGTGACATGCCCACGCATGCCAAAGCACCTTCAACAGTCAGTTATATTCTTCATGGTTCATATCAGTCTCATACATTTCTACCTGAGGTCTTGTTAATGTGTCACTTACTTAATATTCAGTGAGTGACCTGTGATTTCCTGTATTCACTCTAGTGCCTCCAAAACAAACAATACCGCACCTTTCACATTCTTATTAAATCTAATCATAAGACGGACTCGATCATTGGAGAATATCTTGCTAATTATCTCATATCAAACGAGCAACTAATCAAAAAGTGCGCTTAATTCACATCTAGGTAGGCAGGAATATATGAGCTTGCACTTGGTAAACAGTGATCCACAGAGCAGAGACACAGGTGTTGTGGTTTGACAGGAGTCAAGATAGAAACGCGCCTTCACACAAACCAAAGCACAGAGAGTTCTGGTGAAATGGCAAGAGAGACCCCTTGTGGTGATCTTGAGCATCGAGCTCGGAGGAGACGAAGTGATACTGCATCAGAATCAGATAGCAACGGGTGTGAGGAGAGTAACATGAAGTTCACTGTACATTGAACGTATCAGTCCAGATGGGTTTAACGGGTGTAGCCTACTGGCGTTTTTGGACGACACTGATAATGATAATCGTGTTGTTCTTGATGATGTAGATGATGATGATGATGATGATGATGATGATGATGATATTTTCATATTCAACCAAACATAAGTGTGTAACTGAAAAGACCAAACACATTTTCCTTTTACCGACTAAAGGCTGTATTGTGCTGTTATAATAATGAACTGTATTTCTGCTGTGGAAGCTGTGGTTGTTTAATGGATGCAGTATAAGTGATTCAATCACATAGACCAAGTTCGGTGTGTAGCAATGTGTGACAATTACACATAATCTAATTAAACCATCCGACTATAACACGAACGCCCATCAGCATTTTCCTGCATATCATAAAAACACGGAATAACCTTGTGCCCTCCAACAACTCCGGCTTGAGAAAAAACATGGCACACACAGGCTACCAGAAATTGCCCTCTGACAATAATTACTCATGTCAGAATTTACCTTTATGAGCCACAAAATTCACAATTTGCACACAATTGTAGGTGTTGTTTCCACATTTCACTTCTCACCTAAGAGCAGTAGAAAGACGTAAACGCACATCCACACAGTGACAGACTTCATATTGGACTCAGCGGCGAGAAAGATGAGTTGGGGTCCAATAAGACTAATATTTCCACCTTGTGAGAGGTTAATTCCACTCTTCTGATCCTTTACCCAGAGGCAGGCTAACTGTAAAAAGTCAATATCCTCATTCAACTTCAAAATAAAGACGCACCTCCGAAAAAATCCTCGACTCCCCAATAATAATCCACAATTATTTTTTTGAATAATAGACTAGGGAATCACGACACAGAGGGAAAAAAATCCTCTGATATTGAAAAAATAAAAAAAATCAAATGCCAATCAATCAATCAGTCAATCCATGAAAGCAGTTTCTCAGGGTCCGTCTGCGCTGCGTTCATAACTACTGAGACTTGGTCTGCCCGCATTATAAGGGCTCAGACTGCCCGCTCCAGTTGCCCTTTGGAGACAATTTGTCCCTAAAACATCCCTTAAGCTGGCAAACAGTGATCTGTCGGCTATGCCAGTGTCTCTAACGATGTAGAGGAACTCATCGGAAAGTGCTACAAAACGCTGACTGGATTTTTTTTCCCCCTCCTAACCACTGGCTCCCTCAAAAAGCTGTGCGCTCCTCTGGAGAGGGAGTGAACGCTTCTTTTGCACTGACTGCATGCGTGTCGAGGCATCACGGCACTTTATAAAGAGGAGTTTCTGTGCGCCAGCAGAGGGCGCTGCCGGCGGCTGCTCTCAGTGGAAAAAACGTGGGACTCGGTCATAACGAGGCCCCATAATGAATGTTACCCTATAGAAAAAATCAGCACGATGTTCCTGTAATTTTCCTACAGGGAGCTGAGGACAGATGCATTTGTGGTCCTCAGCAGTGAGATGAGAGTGACCTCCCTTGGCCTGTTTCTCTAAAAGCCTGTGGTATTGCTATAGGATTCTCTGTGAAAGCTTATACATTTTGTGTAACAATCTCTGTGATTCATGTATAATACCCCTCTCACATGGATACTATCTCTTTCATAAGGGAGCCGTTACAGTGCTGTTCAGCAAGTGCAGCTGTAGGTGTGGGGATGCCACAACTGCTACCGATCAAGATAAGTGTATTGGCCACTTGCACTCATGACAAGATTATCCGGTCAGCCAGCAAATAGTGACTCTTTTCTTCAAGTATTTAGCGCGGCCGCTGGGCCAAATCATTTTTGGCTGACATCACCACAAACCCATAGAAATTTGCAAGTGATTTTTAGGAGCAGGGTTAAAAGGTGGATTGAACAATGATGATGAAAATGTCACCATCCATTTCAACAATATCCCAACACTTCCCATGGCATCTGTTTCCATCTGTTTGAAGGAAAGATTTTTGGAAAAAAAAAAAGAGCACAACGTCTCGTATTATATTTGTGCTCACAGGAAATAACCCCACAAACCACAGAATCGAGCCATTTTTCAAAGTGGCTTCACATTAAACAAAATGACTTTGTTGTGCATCATTGCTTAACTAGTGCCAGGAATGTCATAAATCTTTACAAATCTTGAAAACAAAGTCTCCATTTAGAGGCTCTGACAGTGACAAACTGCAAGGCCACTGGCTCATAATGATGTTTGACTGTCAGCCCAGGCTTCCATCCAAGAGGGAAAAGAGCTTGCCGTTATAATGGCAAAATCAGCCTCATTCTGCCTATATTGGCCCGGGCTTGTGTTCGTCTTCCCCCAGAGTTTGAAGTCTCTGTCATTATTAGGACACTGTAAAGCATCATCCACCATCATGAATGTATCTGTCCTGCATTAGTACGGCAGTGACTGATACATCCTGGGGTTTAAATTGTTTTCAAATGCTAGTACATTTCAACACAGAATTGGAACCTTTTGCATTTCAAGCAACTGTTTTCAATACCAATTTCCTTCTCTTATTCTAGGAGATAACAAAGAAGGCGTCAGGTTATTCAAGTAATTTCTTACTGAGGAGCAGTTGCATAAACTTTACATAAAGTTTACAATTGCCTGAGAAGGAGGCTCAGGAAGAGGAAGTACCAAAAGGCACGAAATCAAGAGAGAAACACTAGCTGCAAACAGTGAATAAAACAGCTAAATTTACATTTTGAATTCTTTTATAGGCATCACATTATTTCCATCCATAATATGGATGAATCTTCTCCTCAGACTTTTTTTTTTTTTGTCTCGAGCCAGGCTGTCAGGTCCATAGAGGAAGTTTATTCCTGTTGACATTGCATGATTCACCCCCCTCCATGGGTCTTTAATTGCTCCATTCTGACTTCATAAAGCATCTGCAGTTTTTTTGCATGTACATTAGCAACACACACACACACACACACACACACACACAGACAGACACACACACACACACACACACACACACACACACAAACTCATGCATGGCTCATTCTCATACACTCGTAACAGTTACGTGCGAGAAAGCGTTTGCAGACACGTGCACATCAGCTGTATGTCAGATAACCGCACTCCCACAAGATGGCTCAAGACCATGAAGATAGGGAACGACAAGTCTGGTTAGAAGACAGTGTTCTCACTATTGCAGGGAAATCAGAAGTGTGTGTAATATGGTGAATATATATGATTATGATTATGATTATTATTATGAATTCATGGGATATGAAATAATGACACAGATAACAGTCAAAGTTAAGACTGTGCAATAACTTGTGCTTAGTGAGACAGCAGGGGGCTTTGAGAGTGAGCTCATGCTTACCCTCTTGGGTCAAATAAGAGCTTAGACAGTCTGAAACTGTCACCTTGAAAGCAGGACAGACTAACTTGCATACAAATGTTGTGTACGCTAGTTTATTTGTGTTACAGCGTGTACAGATGGCTGCATAAGTGAGTGTGTTTCCACAATGCCTGGAGTTAGCATGTTTGGCCATTTAAACTCAATCCATGTGAATCCAATACTTTTAGCCATAGTGTTAACTATCTAGACTAACACCTTGAATGAACCATTGATCCTTATTCTTAATGTCTTATCCATTAATACTTTAAATTAAAATGGGTGTTGGGGAACACTGATAAGGGTTTGCTTCACCTCACAGCTTTGCCAACAAAAAAATGTGCTTGAGATTTATCCGAGGGCAAAGGTCACTGTATCTTTCTCTGCTGGTCATGAACGTTGGAGAGAGTACTAATGAACCTGAGCATACAGTATGCGCGCACACACGCACAGGCATATATACAAGCACACACTGAGGTTAAGCATGACTGATTAGATTAGGAATTATGGGCTAATTAATGTGTATCTTGGGAAACCTGTGCAGCATGCTTATTAGGAGACACAACCCGAGTTGAGCGGAGAACATGACAAAAACATAAGTGTTGTTAATTCCCAGTATTAAATTAATTTAATCAGTACACTATAGCTCCATTCCTTCCTGTTTTATTCAGTTCAGAGTAATACAAGAAGCTAAAGATAAAACCTCTGCTTGTGTGTACTGTGCAGACATAAATTATTGAAGGTTGGGACTTGCTGTTGCAAAATATCTGTAAAACTTCCCCCACTCTGACTCTTGACTAAAAGTCAATTTTGAAACATTAAAAAGGGCAAAAAATATATGGGTCATAATATATTTGAAACGTCTCAGCTTTCACACAGCTATAGTGCCTGTATCAGGTGCAGAGCCCGGAGTCACTTCAAATCAGTCCATTCGGATCAATGTGAGAGGGAAAATAGCCAATGAAATAAGCATCAGTAAAGTCAATTGCAGAGCCGCTAGAGTGACAAGTGCAGCTGTGGGCTACTTCACATTCTGGGTAGGGCCTGTGTGTTATATTCTACATTGTTCTGGTTAGCTCACAGTCTAATACAATGAAACAAGAAGCTGCTCTTGTTCACACACAAGGTCCTACATGTCAGTGTTTATGTGTATGTCAACTTTGTTTTGGGTTGTTGTGAGCGTATAAAAAGCACCACATGTCTGATGTGACCTCTGCTAGACTCTCCGGTGGCTATCGACCAGTTAGATCCATTTGTTTTCCAGGCATTTCAGACGTTGTCCATTTCTATCACATTACTTTGACAGAAATTGAATTTCCTCTGATGCATTTTTATGTATCCTAAGTGCTGTTCTGTCCTCACTGGGAGTATAGCGTTTCCAGTGGTGTGATGATGCAAAAACACTTTGGGTTTAAACAGAAAAAAAGAGAAATGCTTTTTTATTTTAATGTGTGTATTGACTTTCATGTATTCGTTTCTAAATGTTTCCCACATAAAGTATTGGTCCTTCCAAGTAAGCACCATCTGCATGGTAATCTGGCCATTGTCCAAAGGTCCTTCAAAATCTTACAAGAGCACATAAGAACACATAGAGGACAAACTTTATCAGTGCGCTGACGCCGTGCTGGGCTGTCTGTCTTGTTTGTCTCCAAAAGATTGCCATCTTTCTGACTGTAATGGCAGCACACACTGAGGACATATACCTATTCCTATTAAGGAGGCACAAATAAATAGCATGAGTCTGCAGTTTTTTTTTTCCCCAGCTCTTATTTCTTTTCGTCTTTCTTTTACAGTTCAGGGGTTTTATAGGCAGTGACGTCAACAGAGATATTATATTCTGTGAATAAAGTGGTCGGTTGCTGGGTGAATTTCCGCAAATTGCCACAGAAATGCAAACAGCGGCACATCTAACCCATCTCGTTAAACACGCCGTGGGTCCCGTACGGAATATTGACAGGGACCTCAGCTCTGCCCAGTTCAGTGAAGGTCTTGGCGTCCAGAACGAGTAGGAAAGTACTTTTCTCCTGGAAACAGAAGCAGAGGAGATTAAATATGATATGTAAAGAAAAAGGTCACAGAACACCCTTCTCGCAGTAATGATAGTGAAAGCACTAAACCATTTGTCTTCTACTTGCATATACAGTATATGTGGTCAGGGTGCACAGAAAACATATACAAAGTCTGCTTTGTAAGCTTTATGACTGTGTGTGGTTAAGTGTCCTTTTCCTTATAAAGTATCAAAGTAAACAGATACAATATAATGTCAGTATCAGTTAAAGTAAGGTTGTCACTAAGTTAATATTGTGTGCTGCTTCTCTTGTAGATTGGTTTTGTTTGTTTTCTTTTTTGCATTTGTTAACTTACTTCTCTGGGTGTGATGATGACTGACAGAACCACTCCATCATCTTCCTCAGTAGCTTTGGGCGAAGCAACAAAGACAGGCTCAGACGGGTACAAGCCGGGATAACGCCACACCTAGACAGGGAAGATTACATAAACATCCCCTTCACTCCGAGCTGTTTCATGTTATAAAACCAACTCCCAACCTACTGCTCCCACTCAATGATAGCGAAACAGCAGTAGAAATCACTTTGATGTGATAATACGTGGCCCAGTTAACAATGGGGTCTCTCTAAGTAGTCTTTGATTGATAGAGAACCTTAAGCTCCTTGGTGTGGACATCCATCTTGAGCAGGGAGTCACTGAAGACATGTCCAAAGCCACAGGAGTAGAAGTAGCGGTAAGGTCTGCCGTTGTAGCGGTCATAGTTGATCTGAGGGAACTCAAGGCCGCCGTACTGCAGCAGCTCGTCATCATGAAGCTCCTCATGGGTCATGTAAACCTGTGGGGTCACAAGAGAAAGTGAGGATTTTACACAGATCTGTGCCGCTTTTAGATTTTAGCCACAAAAAAAAATGTGGCCAGTTAATTCACACCAACAGACCTGATTTACTGTGAACTATTAACGCTGTGAGGGCGAGAATCAATACCGCATTATTCTCTAAAACAGGTAAATGGATACCTGCACAAAATTCTGGCCATTCATTTCAAGCTTTAGTTAGAATAAATCAATGTCTTTTAATTTTACTTTAAAAATATATGTACCCCCAATTGCAGTTACAAACCCATATTTTTCTCTTTTTGACATTTTTATCTGCTGAAAGCCATGAAATTACTATCTCGCAGGAAGTATATTCAGCATCAGATCACGCTGGACAAAAGTGTGTGTGAGTGTGTGGGCTGTATTCATCATTACAGGTCTCATTCTTTACTTGCTTTCAGTTAAAAAAGGATCAATGTACAGTATGATGTGCAGCTAAACATAATCCTTTATATATACAATGACCGTCATGCACTCCCACCTCTCCTGGTTTTGTCTTCTTGGCTGTGGCTTTACAGTTATTCAGAGTGACAAGGTTTTGGTCCAAAGGAGTTTGCTCATCCACAGTCAGGGGTAGGACGTATCTCCTTGGAAGGTTTCTGCACAACGAGTTGTAAAACTGCCAAAAGAAATCAGACCGACATGAACATTTTGTTAGTGTGGCTTCTTTGCTGAAAGGTGCGATGCAGCCTCAGGAACTATGAGATACTGACCCAAAATCCTGTTTCTAAATTCTGGTGATATTATTTGGAGGTATTTTTTATATTCTAAGTACAGTAAGTACGGTTTGATTAAAGTTACACACTGCATCAGGAACTTACCAATTCATGAGAAAGAGAGAGTAAATGAAAAAATAAGAGGCTATCAGATGCAATTGGACCATCTCTGCCTAGGAGACAGACTTTGTTGAAAAAAACATATAAAGAGAGAGTGAGAGGGAGATGACCTTGGCTCCTTGGCTCCTTCACACTGAACCATAAAAAATTCTCCAGATCCTTGCTGCTTCAGATTTTAGATTTTAGCTTTCAGTTTTTTTTTGTGTTTTGTGGAGATTGTTTAAAGTAAGTAACAACTGGACGGGTGGATGGATGGATCAGTGTGTGTGTGTGTGTGTGTGTGTGTGTGTGTGTGTGTGTGTGTGTGTGTGTGTGTGTGTGTGTAAAAGGGAATGATTTACCTTGTCCATCTCTTCTCCCGAGTCTCTTCGGAGGTTCTCCAGCGTGAAGTCTCCGATGACCTCACCATCGTCCCCGCAGCACATGTCCATAACCAAGAACCCGTTGTCCTCATAAGCATTAATCTGATGCAGTGTGAACATTGGTGCTGCCTGGTATTTCACTTCACTCTCCTGTTGGGCCGGAAACATCAACCAATCAGGACTCAGAATCATAACATATTACCAAAATAATAAGGGTTATAAAGGCTTTTGGACAAACAAGAAGGAGCTGGTGTGTTGTTAACATTTGAAGACAAGCTCCCTCTTTGGCACGGCTGTTATTGCGTTGTACCTTCACATTTTGAAAGTTTGTTATTGTATGCTTAATGGGAATGCTGTGTAATGAGATGAGGAAATTGAGAGTAACAATGTATGAGAAAAAAAGCTACACCATTAGAGTGTGACTTCATCAAAACAAATAAGGAAAAAACTTCATCATGCGTGAAGAGATTAGCTTGCAGCTTTCCTTTTTTTTTTTCGTTCAGACTCTTCAGCAGCTGAATGTGTAATTTCCTACTTTGCACCCTCTTGCATGAAGCAAATGTATGGCTGTGCAGTGAACTAAATTTAACCCACCTTGCCAGTGTGCCTGTTGACCAGGTGGAAGATGGTTTGATACTGAGGCTCCCAGGTCATGACCTTATGAAAGCTTTTTCCCTGGATTCTGTACAGCATGAACTTCAGCAGGTCCAGCTTGATCGGCTGCTCAATGAATACGATGTAGTTCTCCGACATGACTGGAGAAGGAGGGCACACGCAGGAGAAGACGCATGCATTAAAACACACGCACAGTTTTCTTCAGATTTGATCATATATTACCAATCATATTCTCAAGCTCGTTAGACGTGCTGTGTCATGGTGGGATAACACATCGGAATCTGACAAGTGCATAACTCATCAGTGCAACGCTGATACAGTATTCTAGTTATAATGTGGCACCTTGTATAACTGTACAACACTGCGTCACTTGTGAGATTTCTTGGTGCCAGACAGTCTGGCAGAGCAAGGGTGGTCTGCTGGAAATATTATCTGAGATGTAATCAAGGAATTGGTGCAGTACGAAAAACAAATGGAGCAACATTGCGTTAGATTACGCAAGGTGGTGAAGTCTTGCTTGCTTGACTAGTAACGCCCAAACATATTTGTGCAGGTGTACTGCGGGAACATTATAACAAGACCCCAACCCGACTCTCTGTTTTACTCTGCTGATACTGCTGCTTACGCCAATGCTGTCGCAGCTCCCCCCATCCACCCAACCTCCACACTGACTATACTACAATCTGATATTCATGTATTTGTTTATTAAGGGGGATTAGTTCTCCCAGCAGACTTCATGTTCCTGCAGGAATTCTCCCACAAAGAGCAGAGCTTTTTCAGCCAAATTCAACTATATAACCTGCTACGTTTGCTATAAATGATCAGTGACTGAATTATAGACATATACAAGTAAAAAAACAAAACAAAACCCTATTACATGTTTTGATAACGGTGCTTTCAGACTCAACCCACAGCAGAAACTATAGTAAAAGTTTACTGTGTGTCTTTTAAACAGATTTATCATTATTATTATTTCTTTAATTTACTTTTCTTTTACTTTTTCTTTTTCTTGTTTTTTTTTACAAGAGATGCAGAGTGGAAGAGAAAGTGTGCACTTCTGTGTATGAGTCAGAGGCAGAGTTATAGACAGAGAAAGATAGTGAGAGCTGAACAGAAAGACAAAGGAACTTTGATTGACAAAAAGAAGCAGGACAAGACAAGAATTCAAATTAGTAATTAATAAGAGCACGAAAAAAAACTGTGAGGCTCTCTTTCACTGAAGTAGACTCATCCTGTCAGTGCAGGCAGAAAACAAAATCTCATAGAATTCATTAATTCCACTTCAGTATACATCCAGCATGCAGACAACTTAAAGAGGGCGCAGCCTGTTTGTTATGCTGGAGTGTGTATCTCACCAAAGCTGTGATAATAGGAAGGTTTCCTGGGTTCAGCTGCACGGATGGAGCAGATCACTTTGGCTCCAGTAAGGTCTGCTGAGTCCTCCGTCGCTGCCTTGTCCTCAGGAGGAGGCACACGGATGATGCTGTAGAAGAAACCTGAGGAGGCCCAAAAACAAATTATGTTGTACAGCATGTGTTAGGATGGATAACATAAGGATATTTACATAAATATAGTTCAGTTAGTTAAGTATGTAGACAGGTGAGCAGCAAAGACACTCACCGCCTTTGCCGTAGGAGTTGCCCATGTTGTACGTGGCCCCCTCTCGGTCATAGTGTGGGTGGGCTGTAGCTGAGTTAACAGCAATGTATTGACTCCAGTCCACCTTAAATGGACAGAATCATTAGCTTCCCCATCATCATCATCATCAACAGTTACCCATCTTCTTCATCTTTACCCTCTGACTCAGCATGAGCTTTCAATGGACACTTTCATGCAATGACTCACCTTCTCCTTTGTCTCCAGACTCTGTGGATCTACCCGTCTCATGTAGTTGGTTTCTGTGCTGACATAATAGTCTCCCTTGTACTTGACAAAGTTCACACTGGCGTTATCTGTGGCCTCTGTTCACACATACAGATGTCCGGAACATGTGAAATACAGCACTTTGGCAAAGCCCATCGTTCTCACTGCTATCACTGAAGTCTATTTTTTAAATCAATTTCTTCCTCTTTAATTTTTCAGAAGCTTTATGTCAACCCTCAGATTGATCTTTCCCTCACAGCCAAGCACACGCGCGCACACACACACACACACACACACACGCACAAATATATTGTTCCTTTTCCCTCAATAACAAAAAACACAATATAATGAAACATCAGCTTTCATTAAGCTGCAAAAGCAATACACAGTATAGCACATACAGTAAAAGGCAAGTAAAAAACATTTATATCCATATATATAGATATGTTTTTTTCTGTGACTATATGTTTGATTTTCACTTTGCCTCTGGGAATCTGGCATAGCTGCCTTGTTACCTACGTAAATCCACAAATGAACTGAACATCTGGCACTGCTGGTGGTACATTATGCTGTGAATTAAACATGGGAATATGCAATATGTAAAGAAGACATACATACTAGGAATCTGAAAGCGTGAAAAGAAACGTGCAAAGATGTTCTTGCAGGGATCAGGCATTGCTAATGTCCCAAACTCTGACACCACAATGCGGTTCTTCTCTGAGTTTTGGACATATGAGTCACTTCGTAGGAAGCGGCTGCTGTATGTGACATTGCCCTCACAGATGTGGAACCGGTGCATCATGGCCATGCCGTCAAACCAGTGGGTGTATCTGAGAGGGGGGGGAAAAAAAGCCAATTCATTTCCCGCCAGGGTATTTGTGTAAGACAAAGTAGAGAGAGTGATGTGAGCACAGTGGCACAGTGGAGACACTGAAAAATGGTGAATGGTGAATGGTGAATCAATCCTTTGTTAAACACTGGGAGGGAAAATCCTAATTTCACCATAATCATGAAGACAGAAAAAATTTAATTTTTCATGGATGAAGGAAAACATCCCCTTGTGTGGTTCAATAAGTGACAGCTTAAACTATGTGGCTTGACTATGTATGTTGCCTCTTCAGATAATTCGTTTAATTTCTCCCGACTGTAAATCCTGAACAATCCTGTTACTGTACATTTAAAGACAAAGATACAGATCACAGGCTACCTCAAAGCTGTTGTATGCTGGTGGCATTTAGTGTGCTGACTCATACTGTTTCCTCTGTTATTCTGCAGTTCCCAGTGGTGATGATGTACTATAAATGTTTAAGTGTAATTTCTCACTACATATAATTACTGTTATTATTGACATTTGTTCAGTCTGTACTGTTTGACCATACAGGTTTATACAACTTTATAGAAAAGTTTACCATCACGACTGCTTTAGTTGTTGCCTTGTGAATTCAGTTAGGTATTGAATGTAAGTTTCAGTCCTAATGTAATGTGTCAACGTTGTACCTTTCTGTAAACTATCATGCCAATAAAGCTCAGTGCTCAGTGAGCACTGTAGGATTTTTTTATTCCTAGTGTTCCTCAAATACCTGTCTTTCCCAAATTCAAACTTCCCAGGACCATTTCTCAAGAAGCTCCCATTGATCCACGTTGGAATAGTTCCCTTGATGGTGGTGGGGATTGGATCGGGGGTTTCTTCCACAGAATGCACCAGGGGCGCCACGCTCTCCAGCCCATTGGCCTGTGGACATCGCTGCCTGCTGGACACTGAGAGAGGAGAGGAGAGGAGAGGAGAGGAGAGGAGTGTCACTGAAAGCTGAATTTTGATTAAAGAATACTGTAAAATCTATGACGATAAAGCAGGGAGAAAGTCATGACAGCAAGTGATTTTTAAGCAGCAGCACATCTCTTGGCCCACAACCACACCTATCCCACCATTTCTCTTTCTCTGACTCTCACACACACACGCACACGCGCACACACACACACACACACACACACACACACACACACAGGTATGATACCAGGTGTCTGAGCTATTTATAGCCCTGGAACTAGGTACGAGCATGAATGAGGAGTTGGCGTAAGATTCTACAGAAACCACATGTTAATACAGAATACTTCATCATGGTTGTGACTAATTAAATAATAAGATTATAACCACCAGTACAGGCTGCCCAGGTCTTTAGCAGCTTTATCTTTGTAAATCAATGTTGTTGTCTTCTGGCTGCTCCCATGAGGAGTTGCCACAGCTGATCCCTTTGATTTGCCATTGGTTCCTGACGCAACCTGAATTTGGGAAAGCCAGGGATCTGCAGCCAGCCTGCTCTATCATCTCAGCCATGGCCCATCTTTTACAAATCAGTTGAATCAGCCAAATTTTTTGATCGCTGTGTTGTAAACAAACAGTAAATCACACTTTCACACCTTCTATGTATCCCTCTATGGTCCTTCACACCTCTGTGCCTGTGTTTTAAGGTTTCAACACTCAAATTAAACAATCGAACACTACAAGTGATTTAAAGATGGTTTTGTGAGATAAAGAGCATCTGTTCTGTTGGAGGAGACATTATGTAATGTATCAGGTCCTGCTCGTGCGAACTCATGGCTCTCAGGGGGTTGTGCACTGCGAATGACACCTGCAATGTCTGCTGTCTTATCTGTTATCCAATAACCAGTTCCCTTTCATTACCTCACATTGCACGCATAATGGAGATTGTAAAATATATATGAGAGTTGCGTGATTAGCAAAAGCAAATCATTGCAGTTCAATACGGAGCCCCATGCTGAGTTTCGGCTACAATATCAGAGTTTTCTGACTATGTGAATTGCTATTGCAACCAATCAGCAGAGCCAGAATTTTGTTCATTCCCATGACACCAGTACAACAGACAATAAAAATGGGAATGTGCAATAGGGAGATAACCGCTGTAGGCTTTAACAGTCTCTTACAATGTTGACTTTGTGAGTTTTGATTGTGATTACTGCAGCATTGCAAATGATGCCTGACTGTGTGCTGTCATTTTTAGGGGGGCATTTCATGTAGTTTCCTTCTGCCGCATTCAAAATCGAGTCTCTTGAAAACAAAACAGCGACACTGACGAGCCCAGAACTGTTGTGGATAATAGCTTCAGGTATTGCTTTTTTTATCTTTCATTTTTGGATAATAACAATTGCAACAGTAGTTTATTTTTAACAGCTATTGCTTTAACGACTTGTTTTCCTCGTGGCACTAACAGTATGTCAGTGTACAAGTAAATGACTTTTCTTTTTTTTTTTTTAAATTAGCTGTTATATTCCTGCACATCTTTTTAATTTCTGTTCTTTTCATTTTTACTGTAGGGACCTGTCAGCCAGTTTTCTTCTTTTAGTTAAGAGCTGAGAATGACTACAAGCTGTTAATGAGACATTGTGAATATTCTTTCACCAGCTCTGATTCAACAGGAGACCTTGGAGCAGGAACAATAGAAAATGTCAACATGTCTTATTGTAACTGCAGCTCGGATTTTGAAATGCAACAAAATACCATTATGACTAAACAAAAGCTAGAGAGACCACACTATCTAAATGCACATCTGTGTGTACAAGTGTGTGAACTCTTAAGAGGGGATTTAGATGCTACTGAATAGTTCTTTTTTAAAAAAGGTACACCAAGATGCATCAATGCTACATTACACTTTGATGTTTTAGTTATAAGTGAAATGTTGATTTAGGTAGACATGCCAAAATCAATAATAATAATTAAAAAAAAAAAAAAAAACATCTGAAAGTGGTGTCTACTCACTGCTGTGTGTCTGGGGCTCTGTGGTCTTGGACGTTCTGCAGGTTTGATAAGACGAATGCAGAGGATTTATACAAGCCCTGAGGAAAACCTTTGAACATTTGGACCCTTGCCAAACTGAGTGATCTCAGGCACTACACAGGTACAGTGTTGACTGTATCATTAAACCAATAACAAAAAAGTGACAAGAAAGACAGTGGTCATTGCTTCATGATGCAGGTCACTGTTTGCATTGTGTGGCATAGTGAACATTTCTTGATGTTAGGAAACAGAAAAATACACTTGGTATATTTTTCCTGTAGAAGAAATACACAGGAAACCCCTGTTCCAAATCAATGCCATATAGTACAGGCCCAAAGTATTATATCATGTTTGTATTGTGTTATCAGTGGTTGTAGTTGTGCTAGTCTTTGTTGCTGTTGTTATATGTGTACAATAACGCTTCTTCAAATGACCTTTAGATTATATATAGCCTAGAACTTAGTCCATATAGTCTGCATTTGCTGATTTTATCTAATCTCACCACACATTGTCAATGTTCTGCAGTGTGTGTGTTACACTGCAATCCTTCTTCCTACACATTTGTGCTGAATCAAATTACATAAACTGTCTGTAATTACTGTAAATGTTAAAACAAACTGTTGTGATATCTTAGGCCCTGTGGAGCCTGAAAATTCATCATTTAGGTTGAGTGATCAAAAGACAGTTTGCAATAGACTTAACTGCTGTTAAAAAAATAAAATAAATAAACAAAGGTAATGAAGACTTTTTTTTTTTCAAAGACCACTTAAGACTTAATTGGCTGTGCAATATTCTGTCAATGTGTCCAATTCTGATAAGCATTGCTTTCAAGTTCTATGTCACTGTATGCTGCCCAAGCCCCTCAGTAACTCTGCATATGAGAAAAACAGGCCCTGTAAGTCTGAAATGGCTGAGGTGGTTCCTAAACCAAATTACTGTGAATAACTCTGCAGAGATTTGTGAATAACTATGAGACAGGTCTCAGTGCAGAAGAACAATACTCAATGGAAGAACACCCATATGCAGAAAAAGACAGAATAATAAAAACTAAAGTAACAACAGTTTTTTGTATAAAAAAGTAATAAAAATGACAATTGTGAACAAGACAGTATAAAGGGTAGATGAAAAATGAGATGTCAGTCTCCAATATCTATGAAGAGTTTTATAATGTTAAGTCTGGTTGAGGTATTAGAGTAAGGTTGAGGCAAAACATAGAAATAAACACTAAGATATATCTTTTTTTGTTGTTGTTGTTTTTTGTGGTTGCCAAATTGAATTAATGTTCATTCATTTGTCATAGAAACACAGAGAGGATGTTTTCCAGTGAAAACAGAAACTCTGAGTGAGTGTAAATTACAGGCACATGAGCATACCAGGCACAAAGTCCAAATCAGACAAATAACATGTTCAAACAATAAACAGTCTTTTAGGCACTACGTTGTGAGACAGGCTGCACCTAGTCCCACTACTCCCCTGTCACTCTTTCCCACTCAACATGAAAGAATGGAAGAATGGAAACCTGGCAAGTACATACAAGACCTGTAGGAAGACCAGTTGGGTCATGATGTGCTTATGAGATTTAATTAAATCAGTAGTTCCCAACCTGGGAGTTTCGAAGGGATGACAAACCCAAAATGATGAGAAGCGGCGAATTAAAACCGCAGTAAACAAAGGCATCAAAATGAAATAAACATATGCACTGACAATCGAAATGCGAAGGCAGGGAGAGCCTTCTGTTAACATCAGTAGGAAGGATAATGATGAAAGCAAATCAGCAGCAGACAGCCGATGTTTGGATTTACTTCAGCCCTGCAGCTCAAAACACACTGCCTGTGGCAAATAAGGCAGCCACTGGAAAATACAGCTGTATATTTTTTAAAGGCAAAAATGCTTAACAATATGGACGTTAGTGGGCTCAAAATGGGCTAAACATTAGTCTGTTGCAACAAATCAAATGATCCAGCCCACTGTGCTAACACATACCAGTGGTGGTAATGTTGGGTACAAAGAGGTATGCAAGGGAAATGAGTTAAAAACCACACAGCTGACTGCAGCCAACAGCACCGACTTGTCACAATAATATTTATGCATTATTGTAAAATCGCTCGCCTTTGCTCCACATGGGGAGTGGCAGTGGCCAGTACAGCGTTTACTGCACCAAAGTGATAGAGACCAGCCATAAAGCTCACATGGAGTGTCATTCAGAGTTCAGTGGCTGCTCTGATAGGGAAAACAGGCTGGAGTGTACCTGTTACAAACCCCTGGGGGGGTTCAGTCATTGCTCAGCAATGAAGCTAGTGAGCCTCATCTCACAACCTGACAGACTGTATCTGACTGCATATAAATGTATTTCAGTGGTAAGGAGCAGATTGTGGAGATCAGAGGTTTTGAACTTGATATGAATGGTCAGGTCAGGTTGATATGTTTTGCAACAAAAAACTGCATTAACTGAGATTATTTACTTAGTCTATTTTCATCTCTTTTTTCTGTTTATGTAGTTATATCAGTTCAGTGTGTACCTCCGTTCACTATCTTGTGTCATCTTGCTGATATGAAATTAATGAATACAAGAGAAAATCAGAAAATGGAAAAGAGAAGCATCTATTCTGGACACTGGTCTGTAATATGCTTAACAATGTTTTACAGATTTGAAGAGTAATTTTGATTAGCTTTCAATTAATTGCATATCAAAACTGTACAGAAGCTCACACACCCACGGCAACAATACATGCACAAACACATAAGTACATTCGGACAAACACATTCAATCTCACACAACTCGAGTGTTTCTAGCACGTTATGTTCCTGCAGTTGCCTTTCAAGTATTTTTTCATCCTATCAAGTATTTTCTCCAGTTTGTAAACTGCAGTTGGGCAGCTATAACCAAACTGATCCAGCTCTTATAAGTTGCAAAGTATTCTCTGCAGTGAGTGAAGGGCTCTTACTATCATTTTCAATGTCAAAGTTTTGGCTGACCTCCTTTTCAGATCCTGCAGCCCGGTTAGATTAAGAATTGATTTCCTAAATGACTCACTCTACAAAGTTTGGGTGTAGTTTCTTGCAGCAAACGGACGCAAAATATTGCCCTGAATTTTTATTTTTTGTAAAAGAATGTAACTCAGTTTGGTGTCTAAACAGATAAATTGTCCCATCTAGTGGTGAGCTGGGAAATTAAATGATTCATGAACAAAAAGTTCAGTCTGTGATCTGACGTAGTTTGATGAAAATGTTCCTTTTATTTTTGAAATACTTTGCATTACAGCACAGTGTTTGTTTAAAGAGCTCACAGATCAGAGATAAAGCTCTTACAACAGCTGAAAAAAATTCTGGCCCATTGACCCGATTGTGTTTAAAGTGATGTCAGGTTCTCTCATCAGAAACATCTTTACGATCATTATATATACTATGCCTTTGACTATTAATACACTGGCTATTACTCAACACCTTTTCTACTGACTCTACATGTTTGTGCCACCGTAACACCTAACCTTTATTGCATCATTGAATATTACCCAAGCAGCCTTTGACAGATTTACAATGTCTGCATGCTGAGTCACCTCAGGCCTGCACACGATGACATTTTCATACCTCAGGAGTTGTGTCTGTGTCCTCCAAGTCTCATAACTTAAGTTTTACTCAATCAAGTTATTATAATGACCTCATGATACTCTTGGTCAGTGTTTGGGGCTGTGCATTTGACTTCACAAACACACAGCACAGACAGATGTTTGAATATGAAATGTGTTGAGTGACAAGTTTGATCATACATCTAGTCACTCAATGTGTCTCACTTTCCTGGCACTGCAGAATTCACTGCAGAACTGTGTACGTTGTAAGATGCAAAAAGGATTGTGGTGTATCTGTCAATATTTTCTACACCAGTGACACCATCTGTTTCTCATTGTCCTGGTTATTTATCATAGTAATGCCTCTTAGTTTGATTTTTGTTTTACTTTTTGGAGAAAACAAGCCAGTGCCAGTAATCCAGATGTTGGCTTCCCATGCTGTTATGTAAGCATTTAATTCCAGGTTTCAGGGAAGATACTTTGTGATGGAGAGCAGTGAAAGTAAAATGCAGAATATGATGTGGAAGTGGTCTGGAATGTGCCTTCTGCGTGTACATACATACATATATTCTGCATGTATACATCTGAAAGCTATTGAACACACACACACACATCCGATGCACAGCAGCAGATCACACATACATGTAGCTCTACGTGAAGGTCATGGGAAATGTTCCATTAAACACACCTGTGTTATTTCGTCAGCCATCCAATTGTACTGACCCTCATTGCCATTGGTCCATCTTCATCCCCCGGAGGCCGCGACAAACCAATAGGAGTGTGTGTTCCCACTTTCAGAGCGGGTGCTGCCTGTGGTGGAAAGTTTAAAAGAGAGTGTGTGTCCTGCTGTCCCTCAGCAGAAGCATCAATCAACATGATCCCCATTGTGCTGGCCTCAGTGCTCATTGCTAGCGGTAAGAACATCTGGCATTTTCTAATTTTGTGTGTAATTGTGTCTACGTGTTTTCAAAGTTGTGTGAGTGAGTGTGCGTGCTTGCATATTACCACACAGGGAGCCAGCACTCAGTTCTCCCCAGTTCTTTACTGAAAAGAAAAATTGTGCAGTTTGTTGCTGATGGGAATAAAAGCACTTCATTGTTCAACTCCTCCTCCTGCTCCTTTCTCATGCCCATCACACTCATGACTGTCTCCTCCTTGTCCAGCCCTTGGGTGCGGAACCCCACCCATTGAGCCCCTGACTTCACGTGTGGTCAATGGAGTGGATGCCAAGCCCCACAGCTGGCCCTGGCAGGTATGCTAATACATACACATCTGTCAATGTTTTTATATTTACTGGCAAACCTTATGGGCCTTGCATCTGGATATTAGCTGCTATACCCAGTGGCTATTGAAAATTCTGTGCTTAAATATTTGTTTTTGAATTAAACCATTAAATAATGCCATCCATGTACACATCCACAACCTGTTTCTTACTGTATCCTTTATGTTGTTCTTTTTTTGTCTCCAGATCTCTCTGCAGTATGAGCGGGGTGGTGTGTGGAGGCACACTTGTGGGGGATCTCTGATTGCTGCCAACTGGGTCATGACTGCTGCTCACTGCATCAAGTATGAGCAGCAGAGGAACATGAACACACAAACACAACACCACAACCACTAGTACACACACCTAGAAGTCTCAAACAGATCTCTTTTTGACTGTACTGTACTTATTCTGCTCCACAGTACTTGCCTTATTCTGGACCCTAAATCCTTCTTAACCCTAGTAGAAATGAGTATTTTGTTTAAAACTCAAGTGTCACTGAAAAAAAGTACATTCAAGGTCATATAGGCCGCTGCCCAGTTCAAATTAGTACCAAATCTTCTGTCTGGTTTAACCTGGGCCTCACAGTCTGCTCTGTCCCACAGCACCAAGCTTTCCTACAGGGTCTTTGTTGGCAAATACAATCTGGTTGAGGAAGAGGTTGGCTCCAAGGCGATCCTGCCCGAGAAGATTATTGTCCATGAGAAATGGAACCCAATCTTCGTGGCCCTCGGGTAAGACAAGCACCACCGTACAGTACAAATAGCAGGCTGAGTCTCCTGCTGTGACATATAGTCCATCATAATCTCATCTGTTCTTTGTCGAGGTGACAAAGTGCACTGAGGCTCAAGTTGTATTTATTCACTTTGGTCCAGCTCATTTCTTTGACACAAGTTCTCTGTCTTCATTCATCTCAAATTCCTTTTTCACCCTCTAATAAGCAGCTGGACTTTTAACCCAGTGGAAAGTCAGAGATATAAGACTAAGCTGATGTATTAGTATGTAGAGGCATGATAACCAAAGAAAGAATTCAAAAATACAGCTTGCACTCAGTCTCTCTCACTCTCTCTCTTTCTGTCTTTCTTGCAGTAACGACATCGCCCTGATCAAGCTGTCTGAGTCTGTGACTCTGAGCAGTCAGGTGCAGTTGGGATGTATCCCTGCTGCTGGCTCTGTGCTGCCCAACCTCTACCCCTGCTACATCACCGGCTGGGGCAGGCTGTACAGTAAGTCACTGTTTGTGGAAGGCTTGGCTGTGTTTGTGAGCCTGTTGTATTTTTTTTTTCAGCTTAGCATTTCTAAAATGTCTTCATGTTAGTGTCCTTAAGGGTGTTCCACTTGTTTGCGAGCGTGATGTTTGTATTTATAAGCAGCCGTGTGCGATCAGGGTTACCCAGGGAACCTCCAAAGTTTAGATGAAAATCACATGCATGAGGTGTTAGCTGAAAGTTTTTTGGAGGGGGGATTATTCTTAAATTGAAAATTTGGGGTGGACTGTGAATTTGGTGCTTGGGGAAAAGCTGTACAGCAGATCTGACAGACGGCTCGTGTATGTGGATGATGTTAATAGACCTTGCCTGTGTGTTTTAGCCGGAGGCCCCATAGCTGATAAGCTGCAGCAGGCTTTGATGCCTGTGGCTGACCATGCCACCTGCTCCCAGCCTGACTGGTGGGGTATTGCTGTCAGGACCACCATGGTGTGTGCCGGTGGGGATGGAATTGTGGCTGGATGCAACGTAAGCTCGTTTTCTGTGTGTGTTTGCGTGTGTGAGCAGAGTGAGAATTATTTATTTGCGATTCTGCATTTTTAGCTTTTTCTTTTTTCTTCTTTTCTTTTCTTTTCTTTTGTTTTGCTTTTCTTTTTTTTTTAAAGAATTAAAACTTACTTTGTAAAGCTTGTACCTGTTTTGGCAATAATGTACTCAGTTACAGTATGCAACCAAAGCAAATGTGAATATAAATGCGGTTAGTGTGATGAATGAATGAAATGAAGACATGCCCAAGGAATCAGAGGGGGATTTTTTTCATCGTACTGAGTTTTATCTAGCTGCAAAGAAACAATGTTTTTTGTGTTCCCGTTATACTTGGACAAACATTGTGACTGGGATTCTCACAGTTGCACCTTACCAGTCTTCTAGGACGTCCACAAAATGAATAAAACATGAGCCCTGCTCTTCTCTTCCTGTGTCCAGGGCGACTCCGGTGGTCCCCTTAACTGCAAGAACACCGAGGGCATCTGGGAGGTCCACGGCATTGCCAGCTTCGTCTCTGGCCTTGGCTGCAACTATGAGAAGAAACCCACCGTCTTCACCCGTGTCTCCGCTTTCAACGACTGGATCGACAAGGTAAAAAAAAGACACACAAACAGAATTAAACTTTGTTTTGAATGAAAATCTCCAGTTGCTGTTTCCTTGTTTGATTTTTCAAATAATAACTAAATCTTTGTCTTCTCAGGTCATGATGAGCAACTAGAGAAGACGAAGTGTCAATAAATAAAAAAAAGACCCCTGAAACTGCATTTGTCTTGTCAGTGATGTGTCTGTTTCAATGCTCACCAGATTCACATCCAGATGAGCAGTAAATGAATCATAGGCCTTATTTAGCCACATTACAGACACACACTCTGGCCTGTCCTTGGAGGTTTGCTAGAAAAAGAAACGATGTCAACAAATGTCCAGCAGGTGTCCTCATACACTCATGATAGGGAATTGGTTCTGACAGCTTTCCAAAACAGGATACTGTGCAGAAGGACCAATGTTTCTGCTTTGAAACCAACAAATAGATGTGATTCACTGCAAATAGCCCACATACACAAACCAGGTGATTCAGACAAAACTGTCCATTTATATGTCAAATTGTCAAATAAGTTGAAAACTGGAGGATTAGAGTGAATGATGTGTGTGTGTGTCCTTATGAAACAGCTCCTTCACATAAAATATGAATCTAATATCCCTGTTTGAAGACCAGCCTGGTTTAACTCGGTGCCCTCTCAACAGGCGGCCTTTATGAAAACCATGATACTCAGCTGGGAAGTCTATCTTCCTCATGATAACAGCACTCAGAAGAAGGCTAGAATGGCAAAGTTGAGATTAACACTTCTGTCAGTTTTTTTTTCCACCCTGTGATGAGATGGGAATGAGAGAGTAGAGGGGGGAAAAAAATTAAGAAAGAAATTAAATTGGCTCTGACCTTCTTTTCTATCTCACTCTTTCTCCTCTGTGTCTCATTTGCGAGGCTCACACGCAGACACACACACTGATACGTTTTGACAGGGTAATGGAGGTGTGCGAGGGTCTTTATTGACATGAGAGGCAGTGATCACACATGGCACGTCCTGCAAGAGCAAGCAATAACGATTGTGTGTGTGTGTGTGTGTGTGTGTGTGTGTGTGTGTGTGAGTGTGTGTGTGTGTGTGTGTGTGTGTGCGTGTGTGTGTGTGTGTGTATATATTAAGAGCAGGCAGGAGGAGAGGCAGAGACGCAGGGAGTTTCACTGTGTCTCGACGGTTCTCTCAGGCTGTATCTGAGTGCATTTCTCTGATGTGATGAATTGCATTTCTGAAGCAGCTTTCTCAGGAGTATCAGCCTGTGATCAGTGATAACTATCCCATCTAAGCTCTCGTGTAGTGCTGCTCCCGGACTAATTTAGTCTGACTGTGACAAACAGTGAAGGGATCCATGAGTGTCGACTGTCTACTTTGAACTGCATCCATGAAATAAATCTACACATAAAGTAATAATGAATGAAAATTTAATAATTTAATACTGAGTGCAGTAATTCATAAAAATTGTATCAAATAACAAGATTAAAAAATATAATCAAACCTATTGATCTAACTTGCAATGTCGTGACATTATTCAAACTGTTAGAGAAGAATAAAACATGATGTATTGTACCCGCTGTTGAAATCATTATATGGACCACATGTAATAACTTATAAGATGAATGCAACATTACATTATAATCACTGTTATTGATTTAAAAAATAAAACATTTATATTAACTGGTGGCAACCTGATGTTTGAAGTTTAATTGCATTTTTAGCTCATTTATGCCGCATTTAATTACATTTATTGAGTTACTACGTTGTCTGGCAGTTATTACAGTCAACCACTACAGTCAGAGTAAATTTAAATAATTCAGCCCTTGAATTATTGCTAACATGCACACCAGTGTACGCAGCACTTTGATTAAATTGGTGCTCTGTGGATCTGATCCCCTGCAAAATTTTTGTCTCAAGCCACTGATGAGGGTGAGAGTGAGGCCTCAAAAGAAAGCTTTGTCTGTAACTGAACTCTGCGGGTCAGGGCACCCCACTCCACACATCATACTCACACACAAAGAGAGAGAGAGAGACAGGGTGAGCTGAGCAAACTCCCCCAGGGACACCCTGCTGCTGCAGTGAATACCAATGAGGAAAAAGAGGAGGCAACAAGTTTGAAGTTTGTGCAGCTGCTATTCAGCTTTGCGCAACGTGCTTTAAGTGCAGTAGCAGGGAAGAAGGTGCTTGTAATTCACTGCACCTTCAAGACCAAAATACTCTTAATGTTGTGTATTTTGGAAGTCTTTCTGCAATTAATTTGAAAATGATTCACTTTGTTGTATTAAACTCTGAAACTCTGAAAAAGATTTACCGGTTATTTTACATGTATTTTCACATTTTTGCATATTTTCGAACATAACTCAAACATACTGTATATTAGCCTATATATAACAGGGTTTTAGTCAGTTTGGTACGAGGGAGGACAAGGGAAAAGAAGCTGTTTGAAGTTGAAGTTGGCTTAATTGAATCCTAAATATTCCTTCAGGATCAAGTAAAATGCACGGTGTTTGCATGGTGTAACACCTCTTTTATGGTGCAACATCTCTTTTATGGTGCTCTGTACTAACTGTTTATGCAGAGACCTTTTGCACTGGTCCTAACAGAGGCGAGGAAAAGCCCTAGATGGGATGATCCAAGAGCGTCCTATTTTAAGTGGCTCAGCAGTAACACACTGGGAGAGGGAGAGGAAGGGATGGGTGGCAGGTGGGTGGGGGGAGGATCGGGGGATGACGAGCAGCCACACTGACAGCAGCATCTCCGCTCTGTCGCCCTGTGCCTGTCAGCAGTCACTGGGAACCGGCCGGGACTCCGCCAGCGTGACTTCATTAATAGTCCGGAGCTGACCGCCCGCCAGCGTGTGCTGCTGCCGTTGCCGCTGCTGCTGCTCAGACATATCGCCAAACGGTCGGTTAGAGTTTGGTGACCTACTTCGAGGCAAAAGTTCCCGCTTCACAAACGGTTTGGTGAAGTTACTTAAGACCGGTGTTCATTTTGAAAGATCTATCTCAACCCATTTTTTCTGCAGCTGAGGCGCGAGGACACAAAACTCCAAAGGCATGGACACAAGACACCAGTGGGAGGAGTGAGGTAGGCTGTTGTAAGAGTTTAGGATAGCCTATTATTCAATATTTGATTATGCCCAGGTTGAGAGAAAACAAACTGCAACAGTCAAGTATAATAAAAAAAAGTGTCAGCAGTCAACATTGTTGATTCTGCAACTCATGGTGAAGTTGTGGCAACGCATGCAGCTGGTGTTTTCAAATGAGCTGAAGAGGAAGGGAAGCAGTTCTGTCACATGAGATGGAGGCCACTCATTCTGATAGTCTACCGCAAGTTGATGCATTATGCACAAGTATTTGCCTGTTTTCCATGTGGTCACTACAGGCCCAGCTCTGTGCCCGTATGCCTGCCCGTCTAAAAGAAAGCATTTTCTGGTGCATGTAATATTTGCATACATTTACATTAGATTGTTTGCATGTGTGCACAAAGGCCCTTTATATGGGTCAATGACACCATTCATGAATGTTCATATGCCAGCTCAAGCACATTCTCATGCTGCATTTTGCTGTTGCACGGCCTAAAGCTTAACTACTTCTTGCTACGACCACAGAGCACAGAGTCATTGCGTAACAGATGAACTTATCTTTGTATTGACTGTGAGCTCAGGGAGTGCATGCATGTGTGTTTATGTGAGTGTTTGTGTAATGGTCAGTCATGTGCTGTACTGATCTTTGGAACGCTCAATCTAGCCAAACAATCGTTGAGTCGTTTAAACCCCTGATTCAGTTAACTGAACATCTTTTACTTGTCAATAGCAGTGGTGCATTATTACCTTTTACAAAATTTAAATGCACAAAGGGAAAGGATTTTCTTTACTTGTAATGCTGGAACCCACAAATATGTTGGTACCCTGAATGTGCAAATGTAACATAATGACTTCTGATTACATTTGGTTTTCTCTAGTGCAGTTACTAATTGAAACATAGTTATCAGAGTGTTCAGAGGAAATATATTTATAGTGCAAATGAGAACAAATTATTCTTGTAGTCAAAGAGGCATGAACCACAATCATCTACATTGGGAAGTATAAGTTATGAAAATGTGATGATAATAATTGTTGATAATGAATAGATAGTGTGACAGTGGTGTGTTGTCTTGTTATATGCACCACTGATTGTCTGAAATGTATATAAGCATTGAAGCAGTCCTCTGTTCCAATACATTGCTCATATACTCATTTGATTCCTCTCTCTAGCACACGTACGTGCACACACGTGGACGCGCACACACACACACACACACACACACACACACACACACACACACACACACACACACACACACACACACAGACTCTTCCCCATCACATCTCTCTGTCATCTAATAGCTTACACATTCCTCGCTTTCGCTCTAATTGAAATTGTAAAATGGATACGCTACATTTAGTGTCACTTGAATTCTGCGAAAAAGTTCCTCAGGATGGTTTGGAAATGTTCTGCAAGACTGTGAGGGCAGTTTTATTGAGAGCAATCCCAGTTAGTGATCGTGAGGGTTATTTTCCCCACAGTGATGCCACCAGCATCCTGAGAGGGACCCATCTGGTACAAACAGAGACCGACTGCATAAGTTGGAGAGCAGATCAAATGCATCAGTGCCACCTACTCTGACTCTGAGCTATCCATCTTTATTTGGCTTGGTCATAAAACGCCTATGAAGGGAAGGATAACTTTGAAAAGAGCAGGGTTGGTCTGTTGTAGTGTATACCTCAGTTGAAGAGAGGAGGAAATATGTGGCCTCATTAGTAATGCATTAGAGGGAGGGGAGAGAGGTATAGAAGTGAGGAGATGAGCTGGAGTTTCTATCTGTTAAATTCTGAGAGGGAAAATATTCACACTCTATCTTATGCTTGAACTGATTTCTCTCTCTCTCTCATTCTGTCTCACTCTCTCACCACTACACCTCCGTGACCCATTTAATATCAGCCACAAAAATGGCAACTATATTCCAACATGTTCCTCCTGAAAACACATTACTGCTGAAACTCATTCAAAATAAATCAGTGAGAAAAAGTGCTTACTGGCACCTTCTTTATCAGTTTAATAACTTCATCGCTCTCTGCCAGTATAAAGGAAGCAAGAATAATAATAAAAAAAAGATGCTTCGACATGCAACTGCAACCAAAAGGCACTTTCTTGTCCTGTAATACTCTCATATCATCCACAGATTATTAACAAAGTCCTTAAAATGAATTTTTCTCTGCATCTGTCTGACACTTTCCTTGTACATCACTTGTGCTGAAATATCATAATAATGCTCCACTGTGTAGCTTTATTAGAGGCCCTTGTAAGGCTTTGTATTTGACACTTAAGCAAGTCTTGAGAATACAACCTACTCATGCAGGTGCTGAACATACAGTACGCAGGTTCCTCCACATATATAGCACCTGCAGGGATAAAACCACCTTAGCCTAGTGACTACCTTGTCAGAGGGAAAGTAATCTTTACTGAGCTGACCTCACCAGTGGACTCAGCAGGTCCACGTGACAGGCAGGTTAACTGTAGCCAAGTATGCCAAAGTGTGCGTATGTACGGGGCATGTGAGCATGTGTCTGGATCTTCTGCGATCAAGTGAGACATTTTCTTTTCTTTCAGGGGTAAATGGTGGGAATTAAAGTGACCAGGGTGGCACCGGCTGCAGACCTTAGACCGTCCTCTGAAGTCTGATGTGACCATAGTGAGTCCGGAGGCAGCTGTCCAGTCAACCATGGAGCATGAACTGAGGATGGGACTGTCTGTGTGGTCCATAGTGGCCATCGTTTGTAACTCTGTGGTGGGCGTCCTCATCCTCATCCTCTTTGTCGTCCTCTACAAGGCTTGCAAGGTGCCTTCACACCAAGAGAAAGTGCCAGTTTTCACAGCAGAGCCAGAGCAGAGGAGGGAACAGAGGTACCTGCTAGCTGCACCCTAATCATGACTTGACATGGAGTTGAGGTGGAAACAAAATTTAACTTTGTGGATCTGCAAGAGGCCAAATATTGAGCTGCAGGATGTTAGAAGACCAGCTGGACTCTCCTCCTCTTCAACCCCTCATTATTTTTGCTCAGCTTCTCCTTTTGTCTTACTGTTCACATCTCTCCAGTCTCCACTACCAGCCCCATCTCCTCTATGCAAGTCAGTGGAGCTCAGAGTGAGCTATCTGCGTTAAGAGTTGTGGCAAGACCAACAACAACAACAAGCGGGTCCAATCCTCTTATCTCTGCTGTGCGTCGCTGGGACTGTCCATCTGTCAGTCTCTTTGCTTTGCTCTACACAGGCAGATCATGATCGCCTCCTCTACCCCTTTCTTTTTCATCCCTTCGTATGAGACAACTGAAAGGACGTGGAGGAGAAAGAGCAAAGACAGAGTCAGTTGGATAAGAAGAGTTTGGGGTGACAGGGTTGGCTGAGAGTCACAAGAACACATTAGAGAAGAAAAAAATTTACCACTGTGAGCTCACAAGCTGCAGACAACAGGTAGAACCCAAAAGCCTGAGAGAGTCAGGAAGGAGAGGGATGCTGCTGGAGGAAGTGTGTGAGTAAAGACAGACAGAGATAAAGGGCATGTATTTGGTGGGAATGATAAAGTGCAGGGGAAGACTCGCTTTGATGTGTTGTTTACAGAAAAGGGAGCTCACGGCTCCTGCTTGACAGTCTCCCCATTTGACACACACGTCTCTGCTTCTACCGATCCGACTCCCACGGGATTAAAAGTAACAGCGTCAATGTTACTCGTGTCCCGGTGTGCCTCTCTTTCATTTTGTGAGCTCCTCTAAAGGTTGAATAAGATATTTATAGACAGACTTCACCAGAAATGACAGACTGACAGAACACTCACTGTCTCACAGCAACAAGTGAGTATTGTATTTGTTGTAGTCAATGTACTTCAGCTACTACCTATCAGATACCAAGATTGTTTTAAGGGTGGGAGAGAGATGAGACACACCAGACTGACAAAATGTTGAGCCAATCAGAACTTCAGCTCCACATCAGTGGAATAAATGGAAAAGAGCTGCATTTATGTTTTTGTCTCATATACAGTTTGAATTTAGTGAAAGGGCTTTGGAAATGTTTCTTATTTTTGTGTTGGAGAAACATCAGTTGAAATCTAATATCAGGTATTAGTTAACTTTATTTTCCTTGCAGCACTTTGTGTTGTGTTTCATTTATGTGATATTTCTTGGAAAATTACTATGTAATGATGGATACAAAACTACCGAGTTATCTGTTAAAATAAAATGAATTGATGACAAGTTTGATATTTCATCAATAATTCCAGACACTGTTTCTGTGTGAAGATTTGCTGCTTTTATTCCGTTCATTTCATTATAAATTGAATAACTTATTTTTTTCAAACAAAACAACAACTTTAAAAGCATCACTTGGGACTTTTGCAACTTGCAGTGGTGATTTATTGATATTTTTTTTATTTTTATGGATTAAATGATCAATCAATAAAAAAAAGTGTCAGAAGAATTCACCTGAATGGCACTGAGGTAATTGCTGTGCTCTGTGCTTTGTGATCCTGATGACAGTTTATCTTTCACTGATAAATAAATGAAATGATTCACTCTTGTTTATAACTAATGTGATCCGCAATCTTTGTTGCCATGTTTCTTTGCTGAGTATTAGCATTGTCAGCCCTCCAAATTCTTTAAACATTAGAAATTGAATTAAAATAGCAGTTGACTTCAGCTTCCTGCACAGAAGTAATCAATGTGGAACATATTGACCTAAACACTGACCCACATCCTGTTGTTAGTCAACATCAACCATATAATCCTTATCTGCTAACCATGATCCACCATTGGGAGGAGGGAGGGATCTTCAGAGGGTTAACGGCTGCAATTATTTTCTTTGAGTGACAAGCAGCGACTTAATTATACAGAGTTTCATTGATTTGACTTATGATTTGTCTCTGTCGTGTCTTGTGGAAATACAAAAGCAGAATGAAATTCTGTATTATTATTCAAGTGCTGCACTTAAATGAAGTACAATTCTTAGGTACTTGTACTTGACTATTCCCATTTTATGCCATGATTCTACTTCACTACATTTCAGAGGAATTAATGTGACACCTCTAGTTACTGTAGATACAATACAGATTTCAACTTTCATAAAAAAAAAAGATAAGATTATTTTATAAAATACAGGAAACTGTGATAGATTAGAACTACCCCTAACTACAACTAATAAATAAGAGCAGTTCCACCATGACCAGCTACAACATAATAAAATTCAGCTTAGCAATAATAGTAACAATAAGGACCAGTACCAGTAACCAGTACTTTTAGTTTTGATTTGTGAAGTATATTTTACTGATTCACAATATTTACGTAATATAACTATTTGAATGTAGAATCTTTATATGTAATGGAATATTTGTAATTCAGGGTTTTACTTTTACTTGAAAAGCATCTGAATACATCTTTAACCACTTCATGATTGTTTTAGGGCCCTATAGAGATGAACAGCTAACACGTAAGACATTTGTAAGAGTCATGGATTTCACTGCATTACGAGATGAGATAAAGAACTGTCTAATGTTATTTGTTTATAGCAGAGATATATAAGCTGCATGTCCAGCAAGTGTGTGACAGAAACAGTTCAAATACATGTATGCACATGTGTAAAACAGTGGTTTATAGCACATATGAGACAGATGGTTTGGGCCTTTGGTGGGCTGTTGATTTGAAACTGCTCGTCAGAAAGGCGGCTCTACAGCTGTCTCATGTTTATGTGAGTCCCTTCTATTTATCTGGCTGCCAGCTTCTCTCTCTCTCTCTCTCTATCTCTTTGGCTGTCTTCCTCTTATTTGTTTCTCCATTCCCATCCAGCCAGACCAGTGCCAAAGCCCTGCAAACTGGCCAGCACAGATCCAGTGATCCACTCTACAGTGAGCTGTTTGGATGTGAAGGTCAGCACATTCTGACTCACACAGTTCATGAACCACAGCACTGATCTGAAAACCGTGGTTTTCAAAGCCAATGTTCTAGTCGAGATAGCTGAAGGAGTTTATCAAGAAAACACTGAATAAGCATCCATTTAATCCATCTGTTCTCCTGCCAATTACTCTTGTATTGATCATCTCAGGAAAGAGTGTTATACTTTGGATGATGTTTACTGTGACATCATCCAGTTGAGATTAAACATGGTTACTGAACTCATTGCCATCGCATTACAAAGCAGCAAAGTAATTTCCCTGGTCTTCCAATGGTAACTGAGATGGAACAGGGTCACTGAACCTAATATGGTGTTATATAATGATCAGTACAAATACTACAGACAGAGAGATTACTAATAAACATATGAGGGGCCAGTAATCTGCAGCTTCATCTGCACCGCTGGAGTGGTTGCATAACCCACATCAGCCTAGACTGAGTCATGGGCAGTGTGTGTGTGTGTGTGTGTGTGTGTGTGTGTGTGTGTGTGTGTGTGTGTGTGTGTGTGTGTGTGTGTGTGTGTGTGTGTGTGTTTCTGTTTCTAAGGGATCAAATGTTAATCTATGTTTAGGCCACTACATGTGTGAAATTTTAATATTTGAATCTTATGTAATCTATAATTTAATTTAGTGGCTCCAAATAAAGTGTGTGTGCGCGCATGTGTGTGTGTGTGTGTGTGCCAGAGAGAGAGAGAGAATCTATTTTCACAACTGTTATTTTGGGGCTTTCTGTGATTAATGACCTGTATGAAGCATGAATTCATGTGCTATAGAGTAATGTAAAAATGTGCACGGATGGTATACATGTGTATGTTGCTATCTTACTGTCCTTGTGTATGTATAACTAATGACAAAACTCTAATCACACTTAATCAGATCTTCACACCACGACCCCTATAGAGTCACGAGCACTCATCACAATTACACACACACGCACACACACACACACACAGTCATTAAATAGATTTTGACAACAGTGCAGCTCTGATATCAAAATCATTATATTTCAGTATAATTTAGTCAGTATGAATGTTTGTTCTGTCAACAGAGGTTTTAATTATAGCATGAAATAAGCAGAAATAATGATAGTGATAGGAAAACTCAATCAGTATGCATGATACAGCAGAAAAATAAAAACAATGTGTGTAAGATATATAGGAATTGGAGAGTGGGAACATTTAAGAAAATGAAGTTTTTCATCCACAGTTTTTTTTTTCCCCAGAGTATCACATTTCCCACACTTACAGAGCTTGACCTCCAGATATGCTCCTATAGTCACACTTAATGCATATGCATGACCAGAGGTATGGACCTCAAACTACTTGCATGTGGACGACTGCAACAGTACGACCTACTTGACCCTGCACACATCTCATTATCATTCATCCACCATCTAGCCTCTCCTCCTCATGTGTAGAGTTAGACTGCCACCTGCTGGCTCAACCTTCACAATGTGCTGCCTCATAGCGGTTGTAAGCACCTGGTGTTGGCTGCAGCAGGGGCCCACAGCTGCCAAAACGCTTCTCCATTATTGTGCAGCAGACCATGCTATTGCTGCTCTCTGCTGGTATTTCCAGGTAAGGACAATGTGCACTCAGACGTGTAGTCAGTGACTTTCAATGAGAACAAGTCACACTGTTGCAGATGTTCTTCTGGCAGGCCATCATTAGCCAGTGGTTATGTTATTTTCTTATGAATTTATAATGAATGTGCTCCATGATGTTTGTGTTATTATTTAATTCAGTGTTTGTTTAAAGTTTTATGATGAGAGCAACTGCTCATTCATCAACTGCTCATCTTGCCAAAATGTAAGGTCATCCAATAATAGAGGCATACGCTGCACGGATGTAATTTAAAATAGAAAGTAGATTCAATTAGTTTTCTACTTAAAATTTGCAGAACTATAATATAGACAGTCATTGTTACTGAGATGGAAACCCTACAGGTACATAAAGGGAATGGACAGAATAGCGCGATAGTCCAGTAATAATTCCTATTGTTGTGATGTTTATAATGTTGTTGTTTTTTTTAAACCTTCAGAGAGGCACTGAATCAGCTGTTAGTAGTCGCTGTAGTTAGGTGGTGGAAGAAATATTCAGATACCTTACTTAAGAAAAAGTAACACTACAGTGTAAAAATACTCCATTATAAAAGTCAAAGTCTTGCATTCAAAAACTCACTTAAATAAAAGTACAGAAGCGTTATCATTAAAATGTACTTGAAATGTTGAAAGTACAAAATACTTGCAGTTATTAAGCAGCAGAATTAGTTTATTAAGTTATAAATATATAGGTCAGGGTGAAGCTATTTCTAACTACTTTATATACTGGTGATTATTTATTCTATAACAATGTTTTATATTTTATAAGTTGATCACGTTTTTTTTGTTTTTCTTTTGTTTTGTTTTTTAGGGTACAATCTAAATCTGCATCTGTAAATGTAGTGGCACAGAAGTATAAAGTAGGCTTGGTATAAAGTGGAAGAAGGCACTCAAAAAAGTACAACACCTCAGAATTGTGAAGATACATTTTCCTGATTCCAGCACTAGTTAATTTGGATTGTATTACATATATATATATATATATATATATATATTATAAGTGTTTCTGTTAATGTGTTGTTTTTTAAAGATTTTGAAGACTATCAAAATTAATCATTTGGAGGTAAAAATGACAATGTCTCAAATAGTTTATTTAAACATATACTAATGCTTAATCACAAGTCCTCAAAATATACTTAAGTAAAGCTACAGATATATTATCAGCAAAATGTTAATAAAAAGTAAAAAGCACTTTATAAACACATATGAACTGATTTCAGAGTGCTATATATTATTTATTTGAATATTGCTGTATGAACATGGAGACAGCATTTTAGGCTGTAGCCAGTTGAGTTTTGCTTGTTTGGTAGTTTAATAGATAACACTGCATCATAATCTATGAGCTCATCATATAGTTAATGAGAAATTTCAATCTTGTAAAAGTAATTATAGATGTCAGATAAAGACTGTGGATTTAAGAGTACCATACAGTTGTTGAGTTGAATTGTTAAGATATAAATAGGCTTATTTACAGGTACCTCAAAACTGTACGCACAATGCTTGAGTAAATGTACTTTGTTGATTTCATCACTTTCATAGCAAGCAGGATGCTGAGTGACACCATGAGGCAGAAATGGCTGCCCTGCTGGTTTCTATATCTTGATTGAATTTAAGTTCATTATAGTCATACTAAATGCTTAAGTAAATATGGAAAGCAAATGTATATATCTCTTCTCT